GCATATTGTTGGACACAGATGCTGATTGGGCAAGGTCACCTTCTGATAGACGTTCCATATCTGGATATTGTGTTTTAATAGGAGGTAATTTCGTCTCTTGGAAAAGCAAGAAACAGAATGTAGTTGCTTGATGTAGTGTAGAAGCCGAATATCGAGTCATGGCTCTTACAACATGTGAGCTAGTTTGGATCAAACAATTGCTCAAAGAATTAAAATTTGGAGCAATCAGTCAGATGGAACTTGTGTGTGATAATCAAGCTGCCCTTCATATTGCATCAAATCCAGTGTTCCATGAGAGGACCAAATAGATTGACTATCACTTCATCAGAGAGAAGATTCTCAGGAGATATTGTTACAAAGTTTGTGAAGTCAAATGATCTAACTTGCAGATATTTTCATCAAGTCCCTCACCGGTCCTCGTATTAATTATATATGTAACAAGCATATATATAATTTATATGCACCAACTTGAGGGATAGTATTAGAGTTAGTTCATGTATAGTGTCCCACATTGATATAGAAGGCTTTAGGTATATGTAAACATTGCATATAAATAGGGCTATTGTAAAACACTTAACATATATCAATAAAATATTTCTCCTTTTCCTTTATTTCTTAAGGAGATTACCTATCAAACTTACTAATACATTTTTATTCATAGTAGGGGATCCGAATTTGGACGACTAACAGTAGTTCTACCGGTTGGAAAAATCATCCGCAAGGAGGCAATCCATGAAAACTAGTTAAAGGACGGATCAATAATTTTATTTCACGGCCAGGTCATTTTCTAGTTAAATTCTCCCTCGGAGTCAAATTGAATGTCCACTTTCCTTTTGCTGGTTGTTAGAAGGTAATGCGAATTTAGATAACAAATGTATATACACACAAATAATGAAATCAGATCCCCATTTCCTATTCCTATAGAAACTGTCTCCTCCATCCTAAAAGATTCGGGAAGTAACTATTGACTCCAAAATACTCCCTGCTTAACTTTGAAAGTCACAAATATTCCCTTATTTAACATTTGATGATACAACCTTCCATTTCATCTTAAGATTCTGCCAAGTCAAAAAGCACATCAGAAAACAACCTACAAAACTAAAACAATATATATATAATCCTAAAAATTCAACAAAGAAATATCCAGCCAACCCTGTTTTACCAGTTCTACTGTGTAAAACTTATAATTAGCTTAATTTCATGCTAGATCAATTTCCCTTATTTTTTCATCAGTTAAGAATATTGAAATGTACCAAGAAGCTACCTCCTGGAAATTGCCCTCTGCTCTTGGCAACTTGCTGTAATTCTGGATATCACTAAGTGTCAGCAGGCCAATGAGAAAATTATTTTCATCAACTATTATTGCACAAGATTGCTTCTCAGCTAGCATGAGGGATATGGTCTCCATTAGCAAGGTGCTCATTAGAACTGTCACATATCGTGTTCTCATTGCCTGTGAAACTAGAATTGTCCTTGCCAAATCATTTTCTTCATCATCAGATTCATAAAGACAGAGGGAACTCTCAAGTTTGCAGAGGTTACTCTCTTTCTGTGAAGGTTTCACACCTGAAGAATAAGTTAAACTAGAAATGTTGGAGAAAGAAGTTCCTTGTCGCTGCATCATGTGGGCTCTTGCATCTTTTAGTTTTTCTCTATCCTTCTCTACACTTTTCCTTGTTTGTCCAGATGTAACCCAAGAAGACAACCCCACAGCTCCCAAGAGGGGCAGAACTATCCGATAATCCTGTGTCAGTTCAAAGAGAAGCAAAACCGCAGTGAGAGGCACCTGACAGACACCAGCAAGAGTAGCAGCCATGCCAACCTGTTAAACGATGTCTTCCAAAATCAAAAAGAACCCAAAATTGAGGTCAAACAGTAATATTAACAGTAAACTCATGTTGCTACACAGAAATACACTATAGACTTCAGAAAAGATTGACCAAGACAGATGCTACATAAGTACAGAAGGATAAAGGTAAGGAAAATCCATAAAATTCACGCAAACACCGGTGTGCCCATGCTTTGGTTATGCTTTGACCAACTCAAGGTAGTCATATTTTGGGAACTTTTTCTTTTTGGTGAAGTAAGAGATATTATAAATGGCACCAAGAAGATGCAAAAATAGGAAACCAAAAGAGTTTGCTAGCTCCAAAACAAAGAGTCCTATACTAGGGTTAATGAGCTAACAAAGTCAGAAAAAAATGTCTAGGGGAATTTACAGGTGTTAGGGTACTCCAGCTGTAAATATAAAAGACATTTATAGCCTATTTAGCCAAGTTTCTAAAATCAACTTATTTTGAAAAGTGCTTTATTTGAAAAGTACTTTTTGTGAGAAGCAGTTTATGTTTGGCTAATAAATCTGAAAAACACTTTTAAGTAGCAATTAATGTTTGGCCAAACTTTTAAAAGTGTTTCTAAGTTTATTTTTCTCAAAAGTGCTTCTGGGAAGAAGCTACTTTTTGCTTCTCAAGAGCTTCTGCTTCTACTCAAAAGCATTTTTTTTCCTTCCAAAAGCTTGGCCAAATACCTCAACTTTGGAAAAAAAAGGAACTTTTTTGAAGAAAAAAAAAGTGCTTTGGACTTTGGAGAAGCTTGGCCAAACATGATATTAGCCTTAAGGAAGTGGTTTGGAGTTGCTATTCCATCAAAACATCTACTGTTCCTTTCCTTCCAAACAACCTAAGAAAAAAGAAGGAAGTAGTTGATAGGGGAAGTACTTATAGAATAAGAACCACAATGATGTAAACTAAGGATCTCTAGCAGCATCCTTTCAACCAAAAGCGATTGAATCTCGATTCAGCCTAGATCCAGAAAACAGATCATTATCAGGATAACACTTTAATTAACTAAGGTATGGAAAATATGACAGGTAAAGTCTATTCTCTTATGTTTCCATGCACCTCCTCAGGTAGGCAGCTGATTAAGTTTCTATGCTCCTAAATTTGAGAAAGTACGCATTTAGAAGTGGGAGGAAGAAGCGGAAACCACTAACATCACCTAGTCAGATTGACTGGGCTTCTGTACCCCTAACATTTTAGATAGTATGCAGTTTAGAAAGGGGAAGGAAGCAGCAGAAATCACTAACACACCTAGTAAATTCACCAGGTGCTTCCATTCAACCAGTGGCTCATGCAAAAGGCATACTGCATTATCTGGGATTATGGATATTCCGTATTTTGCATCTCTAATGTATGCAATCTTCTGCACGCTATCTTTTTTATCTTTAAACGATATCCCCCCTATAAAATCAAATTCTGGATGTCCTTGGTGTGACAAGTGCACCTTGAAAGCTATTGGCTCAAGTAAAGCTGCTTCCCTTCTTGCCTACGAATAAAAGCTTCTATATAGGATTGGGAAGCAACTCAAGCGTCTATATAATATGTACATTTCTCAAGATAGTCCTGTAAGCATCTTAATCAGTTGGTTTAACCATTATGAGTAGGTTTTTTGTTGTTATAGTCTGTGCCACTGCAAAATGATTAGGCTCGTCTCTCTGGTTCGTTGGGCAGATATTCTCATAAACCTGAGATATAGCCCTTGTTAGATAGTTATGTGCAAAAAGTCCTAGTCTCATATGTAATAGGAGTAAAATATGTCCTATTCCCATTTTTTTTTTTGATAAGTAAAGGCTTTTATTAAAAGAAAGTACCAAGATGGTATGGAAATCTATACAAACTTTGAAACTACAACAGATTCCCCATCATGCTACATGTTTCCCCCCAAGAAATACAAAAAATCCAAATAATGATCCATCGTATCTAGAGTTTTACTAAAGCACCAGAAAAATAAATTCTTGATGCATTTGTTTTTAACTCTAGCAATCTGCACCCTCTTCCCTTCAAAGCATGCCTTGTTTCTTTCCAGCCATAAAGTCCACACAATACATATGGGAATAGTCCTCCAAATCTGTTTCAAGTTTCTCTTCATTTTCTGAGCTTGCCATATTTCCAGCAAATCAGTAATCTTCTGTGGTATGACCATAGCTACTCCCGTAATAGTAAGAAAGAGCTCCCAGCATTGTCTTGAGATTCTGTAATGAAGGAATAAGTGTTCAACAGTTTCCTGTTCAGCTTTGAAGAAGTAACATCTGCTACGCAAGGAATAGCCTCTCCTTTGCAATTTATTTTGAGTGAGACAGGCATCCCTAGCTGCCAACCAACCAAAACAAGCTGCTTTCATAGGCGCCTTGGTTTTCCATATCATCTTCCAAGGCCAATTATGGTCCTCCTGACTGTTCTGTTGTAGTAACATTTTGTAACAATTATTAACTGAAAATTGTTTATCCCTGCTGTTGATCCCAATCAAATTATCTACTTTATTCAGCTGGATTGAGCAGGTGTTCAGTTGTTGCAGCAATTGACAGAAGCTATTCGACTCACAATCATTCAAATTCTCCTGAAACTAATATGCCAACCTGATGTTGGGTCAAAATCTGCAATGTGACCATCTTTATTTAAAGCACAGCTAAACAAATCCGGGAACCTATTTTTAAAGCACTCATCTCCATTCCAGATGTCTCTCCAGAATTTGAATCTAGCACCATTGCCAACTTCCAGTTTTGTATGATGTAAGAATTCATCCCATCCTTCACTTATTTTCTTCCAAATTCCCCCACAATGCTTCAATTGAGCACAGCTTTGTCTCCAACCCTCTTTTTTCCCATAGATAGCATCCAACATTTTTTGCAAGACTTCATCACTCCCCCTACTATATCTCCATAACCATTTGAATAGCAAACTTTTATTATGCAGCTTCAGGTTTCTTACTCCCATCCCCCCTGTCTTCTTATCTTGTGTGACCAAACTCCACTTGACCAGATGAGTTTTTCTTTTGTTTGCATTTCCTTCCCATAGAAATTGTCTTCTAATATATTCCAATTTTCTCTCCACTGTTGCGGGCATGCTAAACAAAGACATTGATGTATGTCGGGATACCATCTAGGACACTGTTAATCAACACAAGCCTTCCCCCCAAAGACAGATATTGTTTTTTCCATGGAGTTAGCTTCTTGCTACATCTATCAATATAACCCCTTGCCAAATATTCTTATCCGTTCTCTTCACCCCTAGTGGAAGTCCCAGGTAAGCAGTGGGCAATTTCTCTAGTCTGCAACCCGTTATATTTGCCAGATCCTCAACACACTCATCAGCATTGATGCTAAAAATACTACTTTTAGCCAAGTTAACTTTTAGTCCAGTAACAGCCTCAAAACACAGGAGCACCCCTCTCAAATATAGCATTTGAGCTTTATCAGCTTCACAGAATAGGAGAGAGTCATCTGCATATAAGTTATGAGTAAGCATCATGCCTTCTTGATCTGTCTTGCCAATCTTAGCCCCTTTAACCATTCCAAACTTTCCGCTCTCCTCAACATTGTACTAAGAATTTCCATAACCAGAACAAAGAGGTATGGTGATAGAGGATCACCTTGCCGGAGGCCTCTTTGGGAGCTGAAAAAACCTTGGGCATCACCATTGATTAATATGGAGATTTTAAAGTTGAAATACAAAATTTAATTCATTTTATCCATTTATGACCAAAATTCATCAACTTCAACAAATTCAGCAGGCTTTGCCAATTAACATGACCATACGCTTTTTCTAAATCAAGCTTGCAGGCCACCCCTTTTTTCCTCCTTTTCATCAGGTTATCAAGGCTCTCATTGGCAACCAAAGCAGCATCAGTAATTTGTCTTCCTTTGATGAAAGCATTCTGATTAGGGGAAATCGGACTATTTATAACCTTCTTAAGTCTTTCTGCCACTAATTTTGAAAATATTTTGTATACACTACTACCCAGCAGGCTGATGGATTTGAAATCTTTAATCTCCTCTGCTCCTTTCTTTTTAGGGATTAGAGCAATGAAAGTGGAGTTTAAGATTCTGACAAAACAGCCTTTTTTATAAAAAGCATCCACTGCTCTCCAGATGTCCATCTTCAAAATACCCCAGCATTTTTGGAAGAAGAACAAATTAAAACCATCAGGACCAGGGGCTTTATCTCTTTTAAAAGATCTGATAACCTCTTCCAGCCCTCCATAGTAAAAGGTCTCTCCAACCAGTCTTTATCTTCATTTGACAGTCTTTTCACACTATCATCATCCCAACTAGGCCTCCATTGTTCAGATTCACTAAACAAATTTTTATAGGAGTCCAAAATATGAACTTTAATAATCTCATCATCCTCCACAAGTTCACCATCAATAAATAATTTATCTATGCAGTTATATCTCTTGTGTGTTGTTGCCTGTTTATGAAAGAATTTTGTGTTTGTCTCCTTGTTCAATCCACAAGCATTTGGATTTCTGCCTCCATGAGATTTCTTCTGCCTTTGCTATCTCTTCCAACTCTTTCTTGATTGTCATCCTTTTTGCCTCCCATTGTGTTTGATCTTGAGGAGAAACAATTCTTCTGTTGTGAACTAGTTCTTCTAACTTTGCCATTGCTTTGCATTTCCTATCCTCCAATTTTCCATATACCTCCTTGTTCCATTTTTTCAGGTCCTCTTTTAGCAAAGCCAACTTTTTTGCGAGGATCATATCAGGTTCCCCTACTACTTCATAAGAATCCCACCAAGTCTTGATCATATCAATGAAATCTTTGTGCTCAAACCACATGTTTTCAAATTTGAAGTATCCTTTTTTTTTTTTCCAATCACCACATTCTAAGAGAATTGGACAATGATCTGAAGTGGTTCTTGGAAGAACTCTTTGTCTGATGCTCTTAAAGCACTCATCCCACTTCTCTGCAAAAGAGGAATCTGTCTATTCTAGAAGCACAAGAACTATCTCCACTTCTAAACCATGTGAACTTACCTCCATGCAGAGGTGGATCTATTAAAGATAGCTCATTTACAGCTCTGGAGAATTCTCTAATTGCTCTTGAATTTCTTGCCTCGCCCAGCTTTTCATCTGCAAACCTGATCGCATTGAAATCCCCTCCGACAGCCCATGGATGGGAGATTATACCATTGATGGCAGCAAGTTCTTTCCATAAAGCTTTCCTTACCTTCCTATAACAAGGGCCATACACCCCTGTAAAAGCTAATTGTTGCCCCGGGTTTATTTCCTCCAAAGCCACTGTAATGGAGTGCTGTCCCATGTGATTTTCTGTGCAGTTCCATCTTCTCCTATCCCAGTAAATGAGAACACCACCACTGCTACCTTGAGCTCCAATATCTATCCAATCTGACCATCTTGAGCCTCCCACTTGCTTTAGAAAAGATTGATCTATTTTCTTCATTTTTGTCTCCGTTAGGCACACAATATCTGCATTCCATTTTCTCAGCAATAGGTCCACCATATCTCTTTTATCTTTCTCATTTAATCCCCTCAAATTCCAACAGATGACTTTCAGATTCATTTGACCCTATCCATAGCTCTCCTACCCCTGTTTTTACCCCCATTACTAGATTCTCCAAGCCTGACTCCAGATTCCATAAGAGCTTTTAATTCCCTTTCCCCTTGCTTCCCAGGGGAAGCATTACCCACAGAAGAAGAAGATGACTGCTTTTTGGTCTCATTTTCAATTCGTTTTAATAGTTCCAGCAATTTATCTACGATGTGAAAGGATTTTATTCCCAGTTGCTTACTGATTTTGACCATATTTCTCTTCAGCCAGTATGATGCTTCGATTTGATTCAGTTTTTCTTGCATGCTTATCATCCTGTCTTCGTGCCATTGTATTCTTGGAACATCTTGTGCTTCAGCAATTGCAATCGGCTCTTCTGAAAATGGAATTTCGATATTGTTCTCCCAGTTTGAAAGAAGATCCAAACTCCATTCTTCATTCACTTCATTTTCTGTATTTACCTAAGTTGCTCGGATACGGGTGCGGGTGTCCGACACGGGTGCGGATCTAGATGTCAGATACTTGTAGATGTAAATTGTAAGATTCCGGGATACAGATCCTAGTAAGGATACGGGTGCGGGGATCCGGCTAAAAATAATTCAAAAAAATAAAAATATCTCTAAATTATGAGAAGTGTTGTGGAATACTTAAGTATAACTAGTAAAGTGTGCATTTCTTTTTTATTCTCAAGTTATAGATAAGTAAAAGATTGATTTCCTAGATAAGGTATGCTATTTTCTTCCAATTTACCCTAGTATTGGTTCTGATTTCGAGAATCAAATTGTATCTTGTCTCGAATTTTTCCGTCCATCATGGCCAAAGTACCCAAAATTGTTTGACCAGATCCGATACGGATCCCATACCCACACCCATACTAGTGTCGTGTCGACACGGGTGCGGCACCTAAACTGTCATGTCGGAGCAACTTAGGTATTTACTTCTTCTTCATTCTCATCTTCTGACCCTAGGCCTGTATTTTCTTCCTTAACTTCTGCAATCTCCCTACTGCTCCAATTTCCGTCAAAGCTTTCTTGAAATTGATTTGAAGTCATCATCGATATGGTCGATGAAGTGGAACCCCTCTGTATAGACTCCACTTCGATTCTAAATGGGTCGAACTGAGAGAGTTCTTCAAATCCCAAAGGGGTAAAAGAATTTTGGACCTCAATACATGGGTCAGTCCATTTAGGCCTATAAATAAACCTTCCCTTCTTTTCTCTTTTCTTTGGCCCATTTGTTTTCTCTCTACTTTTCTGAACTGGGCCTGAGTGTTTTGATGCTACTTTAAAAGAGTCTGGCCCATTTTTTTAAGAGGCTCTTTCAAACCTGACGGGCCAGCTTCAACATCCCTAATCACCTCCTTTCCTTTCTTTGCCCCATGTTCCCTTTTAATAATAGTGGCACGAGTGTCCAAACTCTCCCGAACATCTTCCTTGGAAAGACACGCCTCCATTAAATGCTCAGCAACGTGACTCTGTAACTTCTCAGCAACGCGACTCTGTAACTTCTAGGGAATATTCCGGCGGCTTCCACCATACTCCGATCAATTTCGTCAACCCAAAATGAGGATTCTACCCACAGGGGAATTGTGAATTTCAGATTATCAACAAAAAGCTCTAAATTTGCTGGAGGAATCTCATCACACTTTAACATAAATTCTGGCCCACTTTAAATGATTTCTGTATCTGGTTTCTTCATCGATGACCATAAAACCTCCAAGTCTATCCCCAATAGCTTTGAAAATGTTCTCCGACCACAAATGTGACGGAAAGCCCATCAATTTAATCCAAATATACTTGGGTTTACAGCTTTTCCGATGACACGTCGTAACCGAGGACCACCATTCCAATCTTAACTCTTTTTTATCAAACATTAATTTCCCCATCTTGATTCTTTCTACTTCGCTTCGGGACTGGAATTCGAATAAAACATACTCTCCATCCAGCTCCTTGACCTTGACACCTGTTTTAAAAAAGCGCCCGCTTCCTCGCTTTAAGCGAGAAGCGATGCGAAGCGAGAAGGTACACGCTTCATATGGGTGAAGCGACTCAGGTATAAAAAAGCGACCGCTTCCCACTAAAAAGCGAGAAGCGATCAAGCAATGCGATGCGAAGGAAGCGACCGCTTCTGTGTTTTAAAACAGACCCAGCCCTATTTTATTAAAAACGAAATCAGTTGTGTCTTTTCACTAAACGAACAGCAACAGCAGCGACTAGGGTTTTAAAGCAGAGCATCTGATAGCATCGACTAGGGTTCTTCTCTTCTTCTTCAAGTTCAAGTCTTCAACAGCAACAGGTATGTTCTGATTTTTCTTCTTCTTCTCTTCTTCTTTTTCTTTCACTGTTTAAACATCCAAATAGCAGCGAAATGCTGGCGAATTTTTTTTTTACCTTCGGTTCTTTTTCAGAATTGATGCCAATCCTTGGGTTCTTCTTTCTCTGCCCAGTTTTTAACAGAGAATTACTGCCCTTCCTCTAATTTTTATATCCTTTATTCTTAATTCTTATTTTATTTTAATTTAATTACTGCCCAGTATTTATTTATTTTTATTTTTTTAAATTCCGCTTCACTTCAAAAAAGCGAGCGCTTCGCTTCTCGCTTCTCGCTTTAAGCGAAATGGGGGTTGTCGCTTTTCCTCGCTTCACGCTCTTCACAACACTACACCTGTTGGAATTTTCCAGCTCTTATTAGCCCATTCCTGTAATTCTCGGCATGAATAGAGTTTCATTCCTTCCTCCTTAAAATATCCTAGCAGACACCTTCGATGGCATTCTATTCTGCTGCGTATGGTACTTGTATCGATCCTCAATTGATTCTTGCTCAAAGGAGTCATCCACAGTAATCTTGACCTCATCTTTTGGCCAATCCTCCTTCTGGGCGATCTGCATGTAACTCCTACCATTGACACTCCTTGACTGCTGTGTATATTGCCTAGCCCCTGTTTCAATAAAAGTTCTGATTTTCTTCGCAAAATCGCACCACCCTGCACCTTGTCTGATTTCAGGAATGATTATTGCCACTCTGCTGCTTCCTTTTACTGCCACCACTCTGATATACCTTCCCATGTTATTGAAGTTCTTGTAGAAGAAATATGAGTATTGCTGACAATGATTTTTCCAGCTTTTGCACTTTTTCTCCTCTTCCTCAGATGCTAACTCCATACAGTAGCAGAGTGCTAAGATATTCTTTCTGTCTATAGTTATTCTGCTAATGAAATTGCTACGCCTCTCCACCACTTCATACCAGTTTATGCTTAACTCTCTCACTTCAAAAGATTTACTTTCAGCAAAGAAAAGGCAGGATCTGCCCATGGTGTCTTGTTGAACTACCACCTTCACCTTCTCGTTGTCGTAAACTAGGCTTAAGTTACTCAGTGAAGAATGATAGAAAAACAAGAGCCAAAACGAATAGGGGCAGAATAGATCCCTGAGAAAAAGAAAGAGATGTAGAGAAGCTGTAACAGATAGGAAAGAAAAACGGAAAGATAGAAGGCAGAAGAAATTAGATATAGAGGGAGTAAGATTTCGAACAAAAAGAAATAAAAAGACTCGTGATCAAACTGATATTGTTAGAAAAAGATTGCCGGAGATCAGATTCTGGTTGAGTAAGTGGAACAGTTTCGCATTTCCCAAGAGAGAGAAAAAGGACACCCCATAACCCAAAAGTATGAAAAAAATTCTACATGCTGTTATTCTTTACTTAGTTTGTGCTAGGTTCTCTACATGCTGATAGGTTTCTTACGTGCACACACCACTACAACCACCAACTGGACTTCATCATAACCAGTGTTGTCAAGGGCACGCTTAAGCCCTGAAACGAGGCTCAAAACATGTTGAGCGCTTCGCCTCGCTTTGTGTGCGCTTTAGTGTCGCATCAAGGCTCTAAGACATACTTTTCCTTGCCAATGAGTGTAATCTCGAAAAGGCAACATTAAACGATTGATATTTCACTTTCTCGTAAATTTTTTCCAATTTCTTTGTCCATATATTTGTTATTCATGCTTATAATTATTAGTCTTGGACTACGTATATATATTTTTACTTTTTCTCCTATTGCGCCTTTTTTTCATTAAAGCTCACGCTTTATTTGCGCTTTGCGCTTAAAGCCTCAGCGGACCTTAGAGCTTTTTTGCGCTTTTCACCTTTGATAACACTGATCAAAACAACTATTACCTCCACCTTCAAATTGGATGTCATCCTTCAGGCTACATCAGTTCCTGTTGACATCAAACTACACGCAAGATTGCTACCATCTAACAAACCCCAACTGCCAATGCTACTACCTTTGAACCAATATGAAATCAGCAATAACAAACTAATACAAGCAAAGACCAAGCATTTTATCCTAAACACCAGCATGCACCATCTCCACTCTGTTGCACTACCTTTGTTAGGTTTTTGCTAAATATTGTTCAAAATATGGCAAACAGATTATTGGTTGGTACAGAGCAAGGCATTAATCACTAGGATTAGCCCAAAAGAATCTGTAAATAAGAGGTAAAGGGTGGTTGTTATTCATTAAGAGTAATTTCAACTGTTTTCCTTCTTATTATACAATTTAGTATAGACGAGCTTGATGTAGCTCAGCTACTACGAGAAAGTCAATAACATGAAGCAATAAAAAAAATGTTGCACTTGAAGAAGTGTAAAAAGAAAAAGGAAAGCATAGACTAAAAGTGAAGGAGAACTCAGAGTTATTATATCTAGGATTCTGCAGTAAATCATTAAGCACCTAGATATGAAATGTTACCTATCAAATAAGATGTCATTGGCAAGATAGATTATATGCAGTTGCCTCTCAGAATCATCTACAGAATATACCCTGTCTCTGAGTGCCTCAGCCAAAGCAGGTACAAATGGAGATCTCTGCATAAACCAACTCTTGGCACCTTTAATTGACTCTTTTGTACCAGTAAGACTATTCAGAACATTACTCAGCTCCATTTCAACATCTGATGGAAGAGGCCTAGATAGACCTTTGAAAGACCCATATGAATGATCATGATCTGCTCGGCTAAATGGCTGAGAGTGATGCTGATCATAAAATGGTGGGAAAGGGGGTCGATGCAAATGGTGTGGACCCGACATTGCAGCAGAAGCATTGGAGGCATTATATGGAGGAGTTAAGGGTGATGGACTCATCATAGGATTTGGTGGATGCATCATAGGCAAAGAAGAGGATGGGAAAGAAGGATTGAAAGGCCCACCAGGGGGCCGAGTAGCCATCCATAGCTTATAGCGATAGTAATAATGGCCTTCACCACCAAAGAGGAAACTGTAAGCAGGATTATCTTGCTGCTTTTCTCGAATCATGGCTTCAAAATCAGGACCATTCTTGACAGCATATTCAATTAATTTATCAATACGCTTTAGGAGTTCAGGATCAGATGGTGGAGGAGCAGGAGGCGGGGGAGTATCATACGGATTGAAGAAAGGTGATGGAGCAAGGTGAGGAGCCATGTGTGGTGGAAAAGCAGGAGGCGGTTGCTGTTGCTGCTGAAGGTGAAGAAGATGCGGAGGGGGTGTATGAGGATGGAGTTGTGGTTGCTGCATAGGGCGAGGGTAAGGGAACTGTTGAAGAGAAGAGTGCGGGGCTAGAAATGGAGGACCATGAATTGAAGGAGGAAATTGTTGGTGTTGCGGATGAAAACCAAACTGCTGTTGCTGTTGAGTGTTTGCCGCTTGGTGCTGCTGTTGAGAAAATGCCATAGCAGCTGCATAATCAGGAGCTTGTCGATCCATCAGCCCTAACAAAAATTAGCAGGATATGCATATTATAGCTGTGCAGAACTCCCGGATTAAACATAATCAGCTAAACCAAAAATCATATAAAAACCAAACTTGACTCTGACAAAACGAAAATAAAGGGATGAAAAAGGTATAATAAAACGAACAAAGAGATTCATCAGAAAGAGAGCAGACAAGATGCTCTCCGATGTCCAATCAAATGTGCCGAACAAATCTTTTCTACAATATATATATACACACACACACACACATCCTGAAAAGGAACTCTGTTTCTCTCTCGGCGCATGTTAACCTAAACGTGCGCATCCATGGGGAAGAGGACTCGGATTCCTACTCAGAAGCTGATCGAAGCAAGGGAAACTAGTAAACAAGTCACAACACAGACGAAGAAGCGAGAAAATCAAGTAAATCATGAAAAAGTGGAGATTCATGGCAGCAATCGAAACCTAAAAATGGCGGTCAATGAAGTTGAAATTGAGCAAATTCGAGGTAAGGAGAAGGATGAGAATCGAGGTGAAACACCATGCAGAATTGAATTACCATCACAATTGGAAATTGATACAGTAACTGAAGCAGTTTCCAATGGAACAGTAATGGCGGGGAACAATGAAATAGTGCAAAAGGTGGAAAACTCAAAAACTGATGTGCAGGAATGGGAGGAAGGGATACAGGTACAACACTCTACGAGAAATCAACTGCGAAACACCACTGGTAGGAAATCATGGGTGGATGAGGTTGAAGAAGAAACAGAAATTAGGGTTAAGCAATCGATTTGGGAAAATTTTGACATCACCAAAGTTGCGAATGCTGGTTTCAAATTGGAGTATGTGAATCCAAGTAAGCATGGAGAAACAACAATTTGTGAAATCGAATTGGAAGATATTACATCTAAGATTGACCACCGGCAAAATACCTTAGTCTGTTATGTGCTGGGAGCACATCCCCCTTTCAATGTGCTCAACAATTACATACAAAGACAGTGGGGAAAACATGGCATCAAAAAGGTCTCAATGCTGAAAAATGGGATAGTTTTGGTGAGGTTTGACACAGTAGTTGGCAAGAATGAGGTGATGCAGGAAGGGATCTATCACTTTGACAATAAACCTTTCATTGTCAAGGAATGGCATAAGGATATAGAATTTACTTGGGAAGAACTCTATACTGTTCCTATTTGGGTGAAACTCCCTGGTATGGATTTCAAGTATTGGGGTCCTAAAGGGCTTAGCAAGATTGGAAGCATGATAGGTAAGCCTCTTATGGTTGACAGGAATACTGAAAACAAGATTGGGCTCAATTTTGCTAGACTCCTAATAGAGGTAGATGTGGACTCTCCCTTACCAGACAAGGTACATTTCAGGAATGAAAAAGGTGAACTTGTTGAACAAAAAATCCAGTATGACTGGAAACCAGTACTATGTAAGCACTGCCACAAATATGGTCATTCAGAGAAAGAATGTAGGAGGAAGAAGAAACCAACCCCCCAACCCCACCCCCCAACCCCCCACAAAGCAGCAGAATGTAGTTCCAGCAGTAAAGCTACTGACACAAACAAAGAACAAAGAGCAAAGAACAGGGAAATAGTAATCAAGTTGTAACAGCATCAAGAGTTGAGAATACAAAGCCAGAAGAGGAGAAGGAGATAACAAAAACTATAGGAGGAAAGATGAATGCAGAAGGCTGGGTAACTCCTCACAATACAAGGAAGTCACCTAAGGAACAAACACGGCAATTATCGGCAGGGTACAACACTTCCAGTGTTCTAAGAGAGACCAGTACTAGTAGGCAACCATAGAGCAGTCAGGTATCTATTGGGGGAGGCACTGTCCTGTCTCCAAGAGGCGATGAATAGCATGCTAAGCTGGAATGTTAGGGGCTTAAATGCTCCTAACAAATAAGAGGAGGTAAAGCTCCTTTGTACTAATGAAAATATTGGTATAATAAGCTTGCTAGAGACTAAGGTCAAGGCTGGCAATATGGAGAAAGTAATAAATAATATGCTAGGAGGATGGAAATACCTCACAAACTTAGAGCACCATTATAATGGTCGTGTGGTTATAGCATGGAGACCTGATTACTATCAAGTCAGGCACATAAGTGGAACTGCCCAAAGCATAACATGTTTAGTTACAGACGTTTTACTCCAGAAGGAGTTTTATATGACAGTTGTATATGCTTTTAATACTAAGGAAGATAGAAGGAGTTTGTGGCAACATTTAGAAAGTACAAGTGGAGGAATTAATCAACCATGGTTGGTTGTTGGGAATTTTAACTCAGTTCTGCAAGCTGATGACACAATAGGAGGACTTCCAGTTACTATGGGTGAAGTGGTGGATTTCCAAGATTACATTGATGCTTGTGAACTCATGGAGTTACCATGAGGAGGATGTAGGTACACATGGAATGACAAACATGCAGATAATACAGTGTTCTCTAAAATTGATTGGGCATTTGTCAATAGAGAGTGGTTGGATAACATGCCAATGGTTCAGGCTGTTTTTCTAGTGGAGGGAATCAGTGATCATTGCCCTCTTAAAATAAAAAAGGATACCGGTGCATTGAAGGTAAATAGAGCCTTTAAATTCTGCAACTTATGGGCTATACACCCTCAGTTTAAAGAGATTGTAACACAGGGGTGGCAACAACAAATTGCAAGGTGCAGTATGTTCCAAATAGTAAAGAAACTAAAACTACTAAAAAATGCTCTTAAGAAGCTCAATCAGCAACACTTTAAAAGTATCTTAACAGAGGCTGAGGATGACACCAAATAGTAAAGAAACTAAAACTACTAAAAAATGCTCTTAAGAAGCTCAATCAGCAACACTTTAAAAGTATCTTAACAGAGGCTGAGGATGACAGGGCAACTTTAAGCCCAGCCCAGAGTAGATTGTATGCAGATCCTTCAAGTAAAGTTCTACAAGAACGGGAGAAAACCATATACCAGAAATTCAGGAAATCTTCTTATCTAGCTGAGATGTTTCTATTACAAAGAAGTAAGGCAAGCTGGATCAAGCTAGGAGATGACAACACTAGGTATTTCTACTCAGTAATCAAACGCAAAAGACTGCAACAAGCCATCACACAGATCAAGGATCAAAATGGGGAAGTAACAACAGATAGTACAAGCATAGCAAATGTTCTTGTAGACTATTATGAAGCAATGCTAGGTAGGAAAGAAAGAAGAAGAGCAAAAGCTTTTCAGAGCTTCCTGAAGAATGGAACTACACTATCTACTATACAAGTGGAACTGATCCAACCTTTCACAGCCAAGGAGGTGAAACAGGCTATGTTCAGTATAGATGTGAACAAAAGTCCAGGGCCAGATGGATATGGCAATGGTTTCTATAGAGAAGCTTGGAGTATTATTGGAAAAGATGTTACTGCAGCCATTTTGGAATTCATGGAGAATGGCAGATTGTTAGGACAAATCAACTCAACAGTAATATCTCTAATTCCTAAAGTTCCAGTTCCAGAGTATACAAGCCAATTCCGACCAATATCATGCTGCAATGTTATATACAAATGCATTTCCAAAATGCTGTGCATGAGACTCAAGAAAGCAGTATCAGTACTAGTAGCAGAAAATCAGGCAGCTTTTGTTGAAGGTAGATCATTGATTCATAATGTCTTAATATGCCATGACTTATTGAGACATTATAATAGGAAGACATCTCCTAGATGTCTAATGAAAATTGACCTTAGGAAGGCATATGATGATCAATTGGGATTTCATAGAGGAAGCTCTAAAAGGTTTTGGTTTTCCAGACTCTTTCACTAGTCTGGTGATGACTTGTGTTACCACTACACAGTTTTCTATCAGAGTTAATGGGGAAAATGATGGCTGCTTTGAAGGCAGGAGGAGACTTAGGCAAGGGGATCCTATCTCACCCCTCCTATTTGTTCTAGTAATGGAATATCTTTCAAGGGTACTTAGTAAGATGAGTGATCTCCCTGACTTCAGATATCACCCCATGTAAGAAAACAAGGTTAACACATATGGTATTTGCAGATGATCTTATGATATTCTGCAAAGGGAATCTGAAATCTGTAGCTAGAGTGATGGAAGCCTTACAGCATTTCAGTGATGTTACAAGGTTGGAGGCTAACTTGGATAAGTCAAGCATGTTTATAGCAGGGGTATAAAATTACAAAGCAGAATATGCTTAATATAACAGGGTTCACTCTAGGAACCTTTCCCATAAGGTACCTAGGCCTCCCACTTAGTTCAAGGAAGTGGAACAAGATGGATTGTAAGCAATTAGTTGATAAGATCACAAACAAAATCACTGCTTATACAAGGCAATTGTCATATGCTGGGAGATTGCAAATTATAATGGCAGTTTTGTTCTCTATATACAACTTCTGGAGTGCAGTGTTCATACTGCCTCAAAGTGTAGTAAAACAAGTTGATAAGAAATGCAGAAACTTCCGATGGGGTGCTACTGAGGACAAAAGGAAGGTTAACCTTGTCGCACGGGATAGGGTTTGCAGTCCAAAGCAGTATGGAGGTTTAAACATCAAAGGTTGTTGTAAATGGAACATTGCTGTTGTTGGTAAACTACTATGGCAATTGGCTAGAAAGAAAGACATTTTATGGGTAAAATGGGTTAATAGTATATACATGAAGGACAAGGAAAGTATATGGGAACATACTCCAACAGGAGACTACAGCTGGAATTGGAAGAAATTGAACTCCCTCAAAGTTCAAATGACAGGATGGTATCAAGGAGATAAATATCTGCTGTCCAAAACAGGAGAATATTCCATGTCTAGAAGATATCAACATATGATGGGGCCTCTGGCTAAAGTAAGGGATGTCAAGCTAATATGGAGCAAAGTTATGCTTCTTAAACAGAGATTTATAGTGTGGTTGGCATGTCAAAACAAACTGCTAACCAAGGAAAGAATACAGAGACTACATGTTCAAATAGATGATCAACACTGCTGCCTATGTGATCAGGCACAGTTGGAGACACAGACACATCTCTTTGGACAATGCAAGTGGATACCAGACCTAAGGGAAAAGCTGAGCAGCTGGATGGGCATCAAAATTCAGAATAGTGAAGCAAGTAAGATGATTAAATGGATCAAAAAGAGACGATGGAGCCAAGTCCAAAAGGAAATAGTTGTTGCTGTATGGGGAGCCATGTTGTACTACACTTGGCAAGCAAGAAACTGGAAAATCTTTAGGAAAGTAAATGTAAACATAGACTTTGTATATGAACAAATAAGGAAAGAGATTTGTAGATAGATTGGAGACATTGTATAGGAAAAAGAGAGCTAGGAAAAGTGAGCTGTTGATTCAAAGGGAAATTAAAAATGTTCCACTTATTCAAAAAAATTTACTAAAATGATCCTACACAAGATGAGGAAAACTTCACAGCTGCAGAAACTAGAAAGTTTGTTATAATGCTTAAACATTGATAAGCTTAATCTGTCTTGAATCCTAATTCTTGGTGCAATGGAGACCCATGAATTTTTCCAAATTTTAAAAAGCTAGCCTTGACAATTTTTTTCATTGTAACTTATCCCTTGAACTTTTACGAACACGGAGTTGCTCTTCTAAGTTTTACCTACTAGAGGTTTCGTTCGTAGACAACATAGGAATATAACACAAACCCTTCTTTCATTATTCTTCATCTTCTTCTACCTCCTCCAAAAGTCACAGGACAGCTTTGGCTTCCTTCTTCTTGATAAGCAAAAGCAGGGCTCCTATTAGAAGATTCCCTCAACTCACACATGAGGCATTGGCCCTTTCCAGTAAACAAAGGATGGTGTCACTCCTCTCACTTGGCATCACACAACGTTGGCCAATTCTGCTCATGCATTCACTTATGCAGCACACCCAACTGTAGGCTTTCACAGACTATAAAATCAATCATCCAACCCAGCCCTATGTTTTACAACCTGATTGCCCCCACATGGTTTATGAGCCCATTCTAGCAGACCTGATTTTCAATTCTTCTTCTTTCTTCTTATTCTACTTCCCCCTCCCTTTCTTATTCTACAAAACACACCAAAGGGCATATCCCAGTCAATTTCATTAACGAAAAGAATTTTTTTTTTACTATACCAGTCAAAGCCCCCAACCCCAGCAGAGTTGTTTCCACCCCCAAAATTTGGTCTTAATCACCAACTTCAACCCCAGGCCCAAGCATTCCCCTCCATATTGGTGTCAGTTGTGTTCTGAAATCTAAAGCCCCCTCCAAGTCAGACTAAAACAGAAGCACACTTAATTTCTCTCTTAACCCAAGGGTCCCTATGGATTCACTGAATTGAATTTTAGAAGATATTTCAGTTCATTAATTTTCCGGGGAATCTTAGTAGTGAAGTTGGTGGGCTACCTAAACTTTCACCTTGTTGGTGAGGGTTTGATACCTCCCCTTAATCCCATTCCCCAATTTTAAAAAAAAAATTATTAATTTTCCAAGAGCTTAGGTTTGGATGTTATACCTGTTATAATAATCAATAAGGATACTTAAAAATCATGCCTTTTCTTCCAAATTGCAGCAAATCTTAAAGTATAATTATACATTCATCTTTTATAGCCTCACTGTCGTTTTCCTTTTACTACTTTAGAAAAAAATTCAGAACATTGATTAATAAAATGGGTATTACAGTATTAGTACACAAACTTTTGGAGCCAATATCAAATGGATAAGAAAATAAGAATTCATAAGCTTGCAAAAAAGCGTAAATAACTAGAAGGAACTTACGATTCAATTTCGTCGCCGGAAGACAGAGTTCGCAGCTCCGGGAAGTGGTGTCAGCGCCGAAGAAACTCAAATTGCAATTTGGGTAATTTGGAGTCCAGTTGTTAAGCTAGGAACTTGGGCCTTGAAGTTTGAAATCCATGAACCATTCCCTTCTGTCGGCCCAAATATTTTTTAATGCGCAGTATATTAGAAGTATATTAGAAGAAGGGAAATTTTCGTATATATACCATATATGAAACTATATTACCAAATATGTTCATAGTTTGCATATTACCGTTCATGCTAACAGTATTTCTACGTAATATATACAATGCATTAAATAAGGAATCACTGTAGCTTTATGATTCCTTATTTTGCGCGCTAAAAAAGGGGAATTAAATATTTTCCAGATCTTCCCCAACGCAAATCACGCACATTCCATAATTATCGTCGGCTTCACTCTGATCTTCCACAACGCAGAACAAAGATTTTCCATACTCTGTTTTTGCGATACACTCTGTTTCCAGAATTCTCTCTACATCCCTCTCTATTTCTCAATCGCAAATTTCAGTAATACAAAGCAAATGAAAAGAGAGCAGCAATTCCACCATTGACAGCCATTAAAAAGCTTAAAAGTTTTGAATTCAAATTTGGGTTTTCAAAAATCATTATTTGTTTGGATTAGGTGTTGTTGAAAATAATCGGGAATATGGTTTGGAGTTTATATCTCAATTTTGAGGGGTTTTGGTGAAGATTAGACTTGGTTTTGACTGAATTTCAGATTGAAACTCGAAGAAGAAGAAGACATATTGCAGAAATTGTAGAAAAATTATGGATAAATTGTAGATAAATTGTAGATATTTTGTAGATAAATTGTAGATTATTTGTATTCTGATTGTAGATGCTTTGTTTTCTGTTTTCACAATTCAAAAACGACAAAAACTTCTACAAATCTTCTGCAAAAAACGCAATTATATTGAAAATCCCAATTATGCTACAATTGAATGGGAATTGGGATATTAAAATTCAATGTACCCAGTTTGTAGATATTTTGTAGATAATTTGTAAAAACATTAAAATTCTGTATTTTCATATTAATTTTTCAAATGATATGTAGTTTTGTTGTAGATTAAATGTAGAAAACAAGCCATTGTGAGTCTTATTTGACTCATTCCTCACATTCAACCTATTTTACAAATTCACGCCTCTTTAAATACAATACAACCATACTTCTTGAATTTCAAAGAAGTATTCATAGTTTGCATATTACCCTTCATACAATATAACCATACTTCTTGAATTACAACCATACCTATTCTACACAACTGAAACGTAAAGCAATGCTCATTATGGAAGCCCAATTTCTGAACTGATAAGCTACATAGATTTCAAAGAACCGAACGCCTAGTGAACAATTCTAATTTTAGTACTAACAGACCATGTTACAAGTTAAATATGTAGAAGTACTGGTGTCAAAGATTCTCCTGGTATCTGAACCAAAAACATATGAAGGAAAAAAGAGGGCATGGAGAAAAGAAATCCCTCACTAAAACGTGGGTGAGGGTGAGGGTTTGGGAGAGAGAAACGTGGGAGGGGTGGGATATACGGTACCTTGAATTAAGGAGGGATATACGCTGCATCAATTGTACCATTAAAATACACTATGGTATAGAATTGGTAATTTGGTATACTAAATGTAATTTTATCAAACCTTAAACATTGAGGGTAATAAGGTTTCCTATATGGTATAGCCACCCACTTAATCTCTTAAACTAAAAATAGCCAGCGATTGTGTGTGTGTGTGTGTATATATATATATATATATATATATATACAATATATGTATAATATATGTATAACTGTGTATAATTCATGTACAATATATGTATAACTGTGTATAATTCATGTGAGAGGGAAGAACGGGGTAGGCATTTTAGTTGATAAGGACCTAAGGGAGCTAGTGGCGGAGGTTAAGAGGGTGAATGACAGGTTGATGGCCGTTAAGATAGTCGTGGGTAGGTATACTCTGAACGTAATTAGTGCATACGCGCCTCAGGTGGGTTTGGACGAGGAGGTTAAAAAAATTCTGGGAGGATTTGGATGGGTTGGTGGCGGGTATACCGTCCACCGAGAAGCTTATTATAGGGGGTGATTTTAACGGCCACATAGGGAGGTCGCCTGGGGGTTATGCCGGTGTGCATGGTGGCTTCGGTTTTGGAGATAGAAACGGAGGAGGTACTTCGTTGCTGGAGTACGCTAAAGCGTTTGAGCTAGTGATTGCTAACTCGTGTTTCCCGAAGAAGGCGGAGCACCTGATAACTTTTCGGAGTACGGTGGCCAAGACCCAGATTGACTATCTGCTTCTCCGAAAATATGATAGAGGTCTATGCACGGATTGCAAGGTCATCCCGAGTGAGAACCTTACGACCCAGCATATGCTTTTGATAATGGACTTAGAGATTAGGTGGACGAGGAAGAGGAGGGCTAAGTCTGGTATTCCTAGGGTCAGGTGGGGTGCATTGACTAAGGATAAGGCCCGGGAGTTGGGGGAGAAGTTGCTGGCTTTGGGGGCCTGGAGGAGTAGCGGGGACGCGAGCTGTATGTGGTCAATGACAGCAAATTGTATTAGAGAGGCGACGAGAGAGGTGTTAGGGGTCTCAAAGGGTTTTTCTGGTGGCTATAAAGGGGACTGGTGGTGGAACGAAGAGGTGCAAAGAAAAGTGGAAGCAAAGAAAGCGGCATATTTAAAGCTAGTAGAGAGTATAGACGAGGGGCAGAAGAGTGCCAACAGGGAGGGGTACAAGAAGGCTAGGAGAGAGGCGAAGTTGGCGGTTACGGCAGCTAAGGCCGCAGCGTTTAGTCATTTATACGAAGAAATGAGGGTTAAAGGCGGGGAAAAGAAATTGTATAGGCTAGCTAAGGTGAGGGAGCGGAAGGCCCGATCTGGACCAAGTGAGATGCATAAAAGACGATGAGGGAAGAGTTTTATTGGAGGGGGCACAGATCAGGCGGAGATGGCAGGCGTACTTCCATAAACTCTTGAACGAGGAGGGAGATAGGCGCATCGCATTGGGGGAGTTGGAGTACTCGGAGCGGCAGCTAGATTTTGGGTACTGTAGGCGCATACGAGTGGGGGAGGTGGAAGAGGCTATGCGCAGGATGAGTAGGGGTAGAGCGACTGGGCCGGACGAGATCCCGGTGGAATTCTGGAAGAGAGTGGGCAAGGAGGGCGTAGAATGGTTTTCTAGGTTGTTTAACGTCATTTTTGGGACGAAGAAGATGCCCGAAGAGTGGAGCCGGAGTACAATGATTCCGCTGTACAATAACAAGGGGGATGTCCAAAACTGCAACAACTATAGGGGTATCAAGTTGTTAAGACATACGATGAAAGTGTGGGAGAGGGTGATTGAAGGGAGATTGAGGAGGTCTGTGTCCATTTCTGAGACCCAGTTCGGTTTCATGCCGGGTCGACTACTGAGGCCATACACATTGTGAGGAGATTGGTAGAGCGGTATAGGGCGGTGAAGAAGGATTTACATATGGAGTTCATTGACCTGGAAAAAGCCTATGACAAAGTACCGAGAGAAGTTCTATGGAGATGTTTGGAGGCGGGAGGTGTGCCTGTAGCATATATTAGAGTGATCCAGGACATGTATGATGGGGCTAAGACACGGGTAAGGACAGCAGGAGGAGACTCTGACTACTTTTTGGTTGAGATGGGGTTGCATCAGGGATCAGCACTCAGCCCGTTTTTGTTTTCCCTGGCGATGGATTCTTTGACGCGTCACATCCAAGGGGAGGTGCCTTGGTGCTTGTTATTTGCGGACGACATAGTCCTGATTGATGAGACGCGAGGTGGCATTAACGAAAGGCTGGAGGTCTGGAGACATACTCTAGAATCTAAGGGTTTCAAGTTAAGCAGGACTAAGACAGAATACTTGGAGTGCAAGTTCAGTGGTGTTACCCAGGAAGCGGGCCGGGATGTGAGACTCAATACGCAAGTTATTCCCAAGAAGGAGAGTTTCAAATATCTGGGATCTATAGTTCAGATGAATGGGGAGATAGATGAGGATGTTACTCACCGTATCGGAGCAGGATGGACGAAGTGGAGGCTCGTTTCCGGTATCTTGTGTGATAAGAACGTGCCGTTGAAACTTAAGGGTAAGTTTTACAAGGTAGTGGTCAGACTGACTATGTTGTATGGGGCAGAGTGTTGGCCAGTCAAAAAGTCACATGTCCAGCATATGAAAGTAGCGGAAATGAGGATGTTGAGATGGATGTGTGGGCGTACTAGATTGGATAGAATTAGGAATGAAGTTATTAGGGACAAGATGGGAGTGGCCCCTGTGGAGGCAAAGATGCGTGAGGCAAGGTTGAGATGGTTTGGGCATGTTAAGAGGGGAAGCACAAATGCCCCAGTCAGGAGATGTGAGAGGTTGGCCTTGGGAGGTGAGAGGAGGGGTAGAGGTAGACCTAAGAAGTCTTGGGGTTAGGTGGTCAGGCAGGACATGGCACAGCTTGAGCTGACCGAGGACATGACCCTAGATAGAAGGGTGTGGAGGTGGAAGATTAGGGTGGAAGGTTAGTAGGTAGTTGGGCGTTTCTCCTTGGTCTTCCCTATTTCGATAGTATTAGTGCTAGTATGGTACCCTTTTTTCCTTAGTTTGATGTAGCCGCGTGTCTTGTTCTGTTACTACTTACCTTCGATAATTCCGTAGTTTGCTAGCAGGACTTCGTCATATTCTCGTGTGCTGCCTTGGACTTATCTGTCTAAATATACTATCTTGATATTACTTGTTATCGGTACTATCTTGCTATTCTTTGTTGTTATCTCCGATTTAGTTTTCTAACTATTTGTCTTGCTATCACTTGCTATCAGGGCCTCATTCACCTTCTTTAGCCGAGGGTCATTCGGAAACAGTCTCCCTACCCTGGAAGGGTAGGGGTAAGGTTGCGTACATCCTACCCTCCCCGGACCACACTTGGTGGGATTATACTGGGTAGTTGTTGTTGTTGTTGTTGTTGTTATATACAAATTTTATATACTTTTTCGGCTAAAAAATATAAATAGTTTCCGGCGCGAGTTAAAAGTGAAAAAAAACCCATATATTAACTATCAAAA